TTATTTTTTTAAAAATCAAATTAAGTCCCTAGTTTGTTGTGGTCGATCAAGGTTGCGCAGCAAGGGTTTAAACCTGCTTAATAAAATGGACCATACGATGCTCAATTTCAAATACACACACACCCATACACACAGAAATCAAAGCTACACAGACAGATATGTTTTGTGAACATTTGTATTTACACATCCACGCTTCCTTGTAACAGGTTAAAAAAACTGTTTTGAACACAGACCAGAGTTGCCATCAGTTTAAAACTTTCACAATTATTTGGAAGTGCAAAATTACATGCGCATGTGTCACACGGGTTTTGTTTCTTTTTATTATTGCTGTTCTGCTGCGTGGCTCTCTCGAAATAGAACCAGCACAACAAGTTTGCACTGTGCTGCCAAGATGCTTTTAACACTTGAATAAAAGGGAGGGGGGGAGGAGGAGGAAAAAAAATATTGGAAGTCACATCTTTTCTACAACGCCAGCTTTTTATGGACAGTAGTTGCTTCGTTGGTCCCAAAATGATAAAGATAAAACAAAGAAGCAAAAAAAAAACAAAAAAAACAAAAAAAACCCAGTAACTTTTCTTTTTAGAACAATCATTAGTAAGAGCAAAAGATGTCATCCATTTTTCAACAGACAGGAAAAACAGCTCGTTCGGTGCCATATAAAGATTTAGATCTGGACATCAGAAAGGCCTTTGCACCCAGTTTGGCTGTTTTGACAAGAGCGCAGAGTAACTCAAGAAGTTTGCATCCGCCGAATGAAAACAAAGTCCCTATGCTTCTACTTAACCTGTCCAGTGAATTTTGCCATGTCCTTTTATCAGGGATGGGGGGACTTATCCCTTTCCAGACGCTGCTGGCTTCCAGCTCTCATAATCCCCACCCAGCACAGCCAATGGTGTTGAGATGATGCAAGCTGGAATCCAGCAATACCTAGAAGGTAGAGATGCACCATCTCTGCTGTAGACATCCAGGATCCAAAGACAAATGTCCTCTTAGACAACCGGAACCCCTTCAATCCTACAGGCCAGGCTAATTCTGAAGCCAAGTCATTGCAATGCCAGCTTCCGGTGTGGCATCAGGGCCGGCTGTCCAAACCCCTGGACTCCAATCTTCTGTTGGGCCCTATTTTAACATTACTTCTTCTTGCCTTTTGAAGCCTCATCCATCCTCTCCCTTTTTCTTTGTTCAGCTATAAGCAATACATTGGAACAAGCAGCAGTGCAGGTAAAATTAAAAAAATAATAATAATAATAAAAACCAACAACTGATAAGCTACATTTTTATGCTGCATTTCATGCCCCCCTCCCCGCAACCCCACCCACACGGCCTGTGGGACGTCGGCAACGTTTGCAGCCCCAGAAGGAAGAGAGACATGGCACGAGGAACACAGGCTAAGGTGCAAGGCGAAACGTTCCAAAACAGGATTTTCTGCAGGTCTCATGAAACACCCGTGCAGCGCACAGCAGCAGCCACAACTCAGTGACGGAAGAGGAAGCAGAGAACGCTTCCTCTTGGGTGTGCACTCTCTGACCATCAAAAAGACAGAACACACAGTTTTGCCCAAGCAAAGCAGGGATGCCACAGGTAGCCTCTGTTATGTAGCACATGCAGGGGGGGTCTAGCCCAGTTCTTAGAACATCAAAACAAAACGGGATCACCCCAAACCCAGAAAACATTGTTTCAAAGAGGTCGCAGCAATTACATTATTTACGGCACTTAGTGAAAACTCTGCATGCACCAGGTGGGGAGAGGTGAGTCGGGGGGGGGTGAGGGAAGCGCTTGCCACGTCCATCTCCTTAATCATGCCACGTGCCCCTCCATCAAAAGCAGCAACCTAACTGTGGAGTGCAAAAAATCTGAAAACGGAGTCCACTGGTAACAATTCAAGTCCTGGAGGTTTGGTGTCGGTTTTAAAGCATTCGTGGTCGCTGTTTTGACAAAGCTCCAAGTTTCTTTTGGATCCCCTTGTCCCGCATTCCCCCAATTCTGCCAGTGCCCAAGTCATTCATTCTTGCTCCAAAACGCTCGAGAATCGCAGTCACGGTGCTGGTGTCGGAAGTGAGAACCTACTCCGAGCAGAAAGAGGCAGACGGGGTGAAGAGACGCCAAGAAAAACTCAAAACGTTATTCCTGTTTTGTTTTTCGAAAAATGCCTTCTCGCGCCACAAGCTCCGAAGGGGGCAAGGCAAGGAATAATCGCGTACAAGGGGCTTGATGAAGGCTGGTAGGTGAGTTAGCCGTGCAGGCACTTGGTTAAGCCGTGCTGACGTTCGGTCTTGATGCTTTTCTTTGAGAGCAGGTGCCCAGGGCAGAACCATTCCACCTCGGAAGGACTCAAAGCAGCTAATGAAAGCAAAGGAGGGAAGGAACGGCGGATCACTGAACCCACGATCGGCATTAGTCATCGTGTTCCAAAGACCAACCAGCTACCCCCACATGAAGCACAGCAACCAGACAAGTTGCTGATAAGCCATCTGGGATAGGGCGCCATGTCAGAAAATCCCACCTCCTCCTTGTGCACACGGCGGTGCTGGTGCGTTCCCATAGCGATTGTTGGAATTGTGGCTAAAGCATGCAGAGCCACAATCCAACCGTGAAGCGCCCAACTGGGTTCCATTCTGAGTGGCCTGTTTGTTTGCATAGCATTCTGATGGGTTAACATTCTGCCCTGTGGGACGTGGCGAAGCAGGGGCAGGATGGGGAAGAGATAAGGCCTAAAAAAAGAGAAGAACATTGACGCTGATGTTGGAAGCACAAGCAGTCCACGGGTCTCACCTCACAAGCGTTTCCTTTCCTGGGGATAACATTACAAGAGGGCTATACAGCTCTATAGGAGATGGGTTCTTTTGCTGCTGCGGCTGTTGAAAGCTCACTTTGGCACTCGAAGATAAAACTCTGAAGCGACCATAGGATCTGGAGGCAACATGGCCCATGCTTCCTTCAGAACTAAGACAGCCAGAATCGGTCTGCAAGAGGTCAACACAGGCCAGTATATTTCTTATCTTTCCTCTTCAAGCGGTTTGTTGCAGGAAGGAAAACAGGAATTCACAGCCATGGGTAAAAGGACTGGTTGGTTTTATCCCTAGAAAACCAGGATCCATTTCTAAAGACGACAGCAAAGGGCGCTCGAATGTTCTGATCTCAGAGCAAGCTGGAGAAGCAGAGTTGACTGGGAGAATTTCAGGTCTATCTTTCCTGCCATGCTATATATAAAAACAGCGGAATTCCAGGATAGCTTGAGAACACGTTGGAGTTACAAAATGGTGGTTAGATGAAATTATAATTCCTCCACTCTACAGCACAAAGATTCTGGAGTGACTGTGCCGTTCGTGGGAAACTCAGCCACCTGTAAATCTTCTTGGTGTCATCCCAATTTGAGTTGATGTGGTGATAAAGCAATCTACCTTGTGCGCTGTAAGAATATTCCCAAATGTTGGGGGGGAGGAAAGGGAGCAAGATGATGTAAACACTTAAACACTAAGAATTTGAGTGTAAGTTTTGGCAATAGACTCGGCATTGTATAAAAATACTTGGTAATAAAAAATCTCATCAATATATTAAAAAATCAGGACATGAATTGATAGCAGAGTTCTTCTTTGTGCTTGCAGGGCAGACAAAAACATTCTTCCTTTTACACACACCCTGTTCGTCAGAAATGAAGCTCTCTTTAAATTAAAAAGGAGGGGGAGAAAAAAAATCACCACACAAGAAATACATCAGAAGCAATTCAATCCATACCAGTTTTTGTTTTTTTAAAAAAGCAGGTTTTATCATCAGCAGCTCTCCAAATGTATATGCCATGTTCAAAGTGCACAGAATTTTAACCCATCATGAGGCTGTGAGCTAACATGGAACGGTATGCTTGGTGAACAGAAACAGAACAAAACGAAACCAAAAGGGAAAAAAAAAAAAAAATTCCAAACACTTTCAAGCTAGAGATCTGGACCACCACCAAGACAAGACCATTGTTGGTTTTCTTTCCTTTTTTTTTTTCAGTTTGAAAGGTGAAGAAATGTCAACGTTTTGCAGCGTCGCAGTAAGGCACTCGCCCACAGTGTGTTTCTGCTGCATTAAAAGGGCAGCAGCCAACCCACTTTTAAACAGACGGAAGACAAGTTTCCTTTTCGGCTTCGTGGTAAGTGCTGCGGGTACCTTACATCATTACTATATAGAAAGGGGAGAAAATTCATTCTTCTTCATGGGGAGGGGGTAACAGTGTTAAAATTCATCTATAAACTACTGGCTTCTTTTCTTCTGTGCCAATTAAAGCATTTTGTATCCTAAAATATTAGTTTTTATAAATCTAGTCATCTGTTTTAAGGCTCTACAAGTCCCTCCCCCCCACCCCCACCCCCCCGAAACAATAAGAAACAGCATTTTGATTGGGGCGTTAGAGGACGGGAACCCTTCCTATTTCACAGTCACAAGTTTCATATTGCGTCTCCTGTCCCTCCTGCCCACCCTCAAAGTGATGAAAACCTGTTTTTTGTTTTGATCGAAAGACAGATTCCCTCCCTTGGTTTCAATATTTTGCATTTGTTTGGTCAGTTAACTGGAAAGCCTGGAAAACAGAAAGAGTCTCTCTTGCTTTAATACTACGAAGATGTGTCCATCCAGTTAAGCAGTTCTCCTGCGTCGACCCTGGAAAACGCGGGTTGTCTCCTTCCAATGTTTTGTCCGCGGCCTGCAGTGATCTCCCCATTGGATACCCACAAGGTGCTCCAATGCTTCCTTTTTTTCCCCTTTTCTTTCTTTCTTTCTTTCTTTCTTTCTTTCTTTCTTTCTTTCTTTCTT